GCTTAAAGACACGTCCCAGGGGCGTTTCTGGTCCCCACCTGTCGCTTTGCTCCTCAGCATGGCTGCCTAAAAACGATGCAGGATTTCTCAAACATGCATGAATGAGTCAGAGCAAGGCTTTGGGCATGTTTTTTTATGAGAGTATAACATTATAGCATGATATAAAACTCAAAAAAGTTGATTTTACATGATATTGCCCCTTTAAAGGTGGTGATCATCCTAAAACATTTGAGATTCACTGCTGGGTTGGATTGCATTTAATTACTGCTGTTTAAATGTTTGAATTTCTTGAAGCGTGCTTTTAAAAAGATCAAATCCGAAACCCATCGTCATTTAAAACCTTTTGATACGATGCATATTCTACAGAGTTCAGCTCTTTCTAACCCCTATTTTAAACAGAAGGATTGTTAGATGTACAGAGTCACGACTGCATCCATCTGGGCACCACGTCAGCTCTTAAAGCCACTGATTCAACTTTTTGCTTTTTGATGTCAGCTCGTTTGGCAGTGGTTCTCACCCTGGCCGGCAGACTCTGCTGGAAGGCAGTTCGTATGGAGAGGCAGCAGTGGTGGAAGTTGCGTATGAGCTGCGGGTGGATGGAGCCGCTGAGCTGAGCCACCTCTCTGTGAGTGGGAGCGATGAAGATGCCCTGCACCGCCTCCATCAGGACAAAGTGAAACAAGGTGTTCTCTGCACCCGACGTCAGTCTGTGGCACAGAAACAAACATTTTTATCCTGTTTGTAACTTAAAGTGAAACATGCAATGCCCCGGTGACTTACTTTAAGTTGTTGTACATTTCCTCTGTTTCCCTCTCAGTCAGGGTCTTCTTCAGGGTTCCCAGATAAAAAGGGTTTGGGTGTTTCATCCTGGGTGTCTGTAAACAAAAAYCATATTCAAATAAAACTTTGATAAGCAACTTTGGGATATAACAGACTTCACAGATATGTGATTTAATATACACGTCTGTTATTGTTCCAAGCAATTCATCAATATTTTTTGTTTTTGTTCTTCTTTTATGATGTAGTGGTTTGATTTAGATGGTAACATACTGGATACATCAGAGGTGCAGTAAATATTTTTAAAGAACAGTTGAAGCCAATAAATTACAGTGCAATACTTTTAAATTATCTACATTTTCATTTTTTTATTCATTTTTGTTTCTAATGAGGTAGACTTTATTGTACTCCCCTAAAAGTGATTTAGAACAATAACAAGGCTTTCAACATTTTTTTCCTTTTACTTTGGCTGCTTCTTCACTCATTTTCTGTCATGGTTTGTTCTTAAAAATTGAGTAAAAATGGACAAAACCAGGTCAGACGAAGTGCCATACGTTAAAAATAAATAAATCAGAAAAAACTCAATCTACAGCAAATGACTAGTATTTGAAAGTCCTGTTTAAGGTTTTGGGGGGGCGGGATCAGTAAAATCCTGAGAGATCAATTACAAGCAATTATCTTCTACTCAGTTAACAGCTCTTTGATTTGTTGGTGCTAAAATGCTCTTTACTGTCTTTCAAACGTTGTTTACGGATGGATGGATGGATGGATGATGGATGGACTGATGATGGATGGATGTATGGATGGATGAAAGGATGGATGAATGGATGGATGGACTGATGATGGATGGATTGATGGATGGATGGAAGGACGGATGGACGGACGGATGGATGGATGGATGATGGATGGATGGAAGGATGATGGATGGATGGATGGATGGATGGAAGGATGATGGATGGATGGATGGATGGATGGATGGATGGATGGATGGACGGACGGATGGACGGAAGGATGGATGGATGGATGGATGGGTGGGTGGACTGATGATGGATGGATGGATGGATGGATGGATGGATGGATGGACGGACGGATGGACGGAAGGATGGATGGATGGATGGATGGGTGGGTGGACTGATGATGGATGGATGGATGGATGGATGGATGGACGGACGGATGGAAGGATGGATGGATGGATGGGTGGGTGGACTGATGGATGGATGGATGGATGGACTGATGGTGGATGGATGGATGGATGGATGGATGGATGGATGGATGGATGGATAGAAAAGGGATGAATGGATGGATGGATGATGGATGGATGGATGGATGGGTGGACTGATGATGGGTGGATGGATGGATGGATGGTTGGATGGATGGATGGATGGATGGACTGATGGTGGATGGATGGATGGATGG